AATAGCATGTTGGCCCACCTTTGGCCTTAATGATGGCTTCAATGTGTCATGGAAGACTGTCTACTAATTTCTGGTAGAAAGCTGGTATTGTGCTCCATTCCTCCTTTAAAGCATTATTAAGCTCCACTACTGAAGAGGGCCATCTTGGCCTTGCCCCAATTCTGCATTCCAGTTCATCCCAAAGATGTTATGTCAGGTTGAGGTCGGAGCTCTGTCCTGGCCACTGCAATGTTCTGATGTTATTCTCTTCAAACTACGCGTTCACAATCGTAGATTTGTGACATGGAGTATTATCATGTTGGAAGGTGTAATGGGCGATACCATAAAACTGCCACAAAGTAGGACACACAGAATTGTTCAGAACATCAATGTAGGACTCAGCATTCATGGATCCATGCACTATGACAAGTGTTACCCAGTCCATACCACGAGAAGCACCCACAGACCATGATACTGCCACTTCCAAGCTTCACTGTTGGGGGCAATACACTCAGGTAATAAGCATTCTCCAGGCATCCTTCATACCCAAACACATCCATCAGACTGAAAGAGCGTGTAGTGTGACTCGTTGCTCCACAGGACCAATTTCCATTGATCCACAGTCTAAGTTTGGTGTGCCTTGCCCCATGCCAATCAACCATGTGCATTTGTTTTTGTTATCAACGGCTTGTGGGCTGCAGCTCTTCCATGAAAATTTATGGCATGCAGCTCTCGATGTGTCATGGAAACACTTATAGAATTGCCTGTGGCTGTCCACATCTTCAAACACAGATTCTCTAGGGTCTGACAGCAAGATGAGGTAACCAGCCTTCTCGAGGTGCATCGGCTCCTGTTATACAGTATTTTATGCCTACATGGTCGTTTCTTGGGATCATCTCACCTGTGGACTTCCCATTTTTTCATCACATTGCCAATTGTCTACCTGGGAATGTTTAATTGTTGCGCACTATCCTGTACAGACATTTTTCCCAAATGACATCCAACTATTCTTCCCCTCTGAAACTATGTGAGCTCTATCCATGTACTCATCGTTAGGCGTACAAGTTCGAAATGACTTCCAAACGAACCACTGTTCTCCTTTATAGGCCAAACTATTTGCATATTTCATTGTCACACCCATTTTCCTGAGGTGTGTGTCCCATGACTTTTGGTAGGATAGTGTATATTCAAGAATTATGTACAGTCAGATGTTAAGAATTTGTTATAAAAATTACAATAGCTTTAAGCATCTGTAATTACATTCATTGTTATCTAAGTTATGTAACTTTAGATTTTATCTTCACACTACAGCAGCAGGTCTCAAACCTGGGCTGCGACAACAATTTGGGCCCAAAAAGACTATTACAATTACACCTGCTTTTGTTCTGGATTAAAAAGCTTTGAAAATCACCCTGTGAATGCACTGGTTGCTATGAGGCATACTTTGATTGCTATGTTATTTTAGGTGTTTTTTCTGGAGTGGCATTAATTTTTATGTCTCATAATCGGGTTACCTAGAACAAAAGTTCAAGCACTGCACTACAATGCCAAGGTTATCACATGTTATTGTACCTAATTTTTACAAAGTGGAAAATAAATTATATGTGTTTTTTTTTGGTAGTGGCTTAGTGGTTGTAACTGGCATATTTGTGCAGTATGTGTGAATATATACCAAAGGGAACATTGTTTACAAAAGCAAATAAAATAGTTAGCTCTCAGAAATAAAAAACATTAATATTAGCTCTGATATTTTTAAAAAATTAGCAAGTTTAAAACTAACTGTTAGCAGTTTTGCACTAGATGTTACATGTGTTAAGGGTAACATGAATGGTGTAAGAATCCAGAAAAAGCATGTGAAGTCTATTGGTAAACTAAAAAAGAAAAATACAAGAATAAATACTATTTACTGGTTATGAGAAATATTTTTATTATTTGATATTTTTCTTTAAAATTAATATGAATTGTATAATATTTTCAGATCCTGGAGGAATACAATGAACATTACTCTACAATGAATCTGGTTCTGTTTGATAATGCTGTGGAACATCTGACTCGAATCCACCGTGTGATCCGTATAGATCAAGGCCATGCCTTATTGGTTGGCGTTGGAGGTAGTGGGAAACAGAGTTTAACTCGCTTGGCTGCCTATGCAGCTGGATGTGAAGTGTTTGTAATTAAACTCAGTCGAGGTTATTCTGAGACAAATTTTCGAGAAGATCTGAAGGTTCTGTACAACATGTTGGGACTGGAGAATAAGAAAGTGGTGTTTCTCTTCTCTGATGCGCACGTCGTAGAAGAAGGTTAGTGGAAAAACATCTTCTCTAAGATGTTGACCTTAATATTCTACTTACTGGTGAATCAGAAGTTAGTAAACTCAGAGATGATCACATTATTGAATACACTGTTTGCAACACATTCATTATTTAGTCATTACATACAGGGAGATTTGCTCACAATATTCTAACTCCAGTTGTTTGAGCTCATAAAAATATAGGTATATGGTTTCCATAGGTTGGTAGGGAATGACTTACCTTTAGCTCACCTTGTAAATTGGATATATATATATATTAATGTATTTTAGATCATGTAACAGATATTTTTCTCATAAAGTTAATTAAATAACTTTTTATTTACCATGTTTACCCCATTCTTTAGATCATAACCTCAACTCTAAAATAAAATTTGTTCTTGCTTCTTTCAGTGAGGGTTTTGACAGTGGGTTAAGCTGGTTAAGATTTTGTCACCTCCTTCTAATTCTTTTTTGTATAACTAGTGAATATGCATAAGACACTTTTCTTACCTTTTTTTGGTCACCTGAAGCAGGACTTTGTCTAGAGTCTGAAATGTATTTCACTAGCCAAAAAGAAGGAGATGCATGGGAGAACTGTCATCCATCTTTTCTTTGTTTAGACAGTGTGAAACTACCTTTAATGTCACAGAAAATAAATTGCACAATAAACAGTATTGTTTCATTCTATCAACTGTGATAGTAATAATTTCTTATTCCTCTATGATCATATATAAGTTATTAAAGTCAACAACAGTTTAAGGGATGAAATGATTTTTTCGTTTATAGATCAATGTTTTATGTTTCTATGTCTCATAAAGTGGAGTACAAACATCGTTTATGAAAGGAATAAATTAAACAGCATGTAACAGCAGTTTTATTGCATAGGGTTGGCTGCACATTATTTGAATGTTTTGTATATTGCAAGCTGTGATGACAAAGATGTGAGTTATGTCACCATGAGTAACATTAAAAACCGATATATATTTGGTTCCTAACCATTTCAGAGTACAATGTTGAGTAAGGTAAACTTCTGACCGGACAGTTTAAGAGATCCCCCGATGAGTCAGCAATAATTCTTTAGAATTACAACACTAAAATCCAAGGCTCAATACCCCCTAATAAGGTAAAATAATCACTCCAAACAGTAACAAGTTATAGAGGTTTTCAAAGAGAACTATTTATACAAAAGATTGTTATATGACCTAACATTGAAGAGCACAACATTTAAAACAAGGAAGGCTATAATACTTTCCATGAAATAGGAAAAAAACTTGCAAAATAGTTTTTAGTACAAGAAGAAGCTCCAAAATCAGACCCCAAAGCAACACCCTCATTGGCAAAGTGAGAACTCTTTGATAGGAAAGAAAACAATTTGACCCCTAAATCCATTGCAGAAAAACTGGGCATATCACTTGGTACAAAGGCTTTCAAGTTCCAGCCACACATAGATATCAAGGACTGTTTTTATGAAAAAGAAACTGGAACCGCAACAATCCCATTTAACCACATATATCTCAGATCTTTTGATGTCTTTCCAGTTTCACATTTCTTCCTTTAATCTGCTTAAACATGGCCTTGAAATAGCCATTGTCCATGTTCAGTAGAGGGTCTGTGGAAAGATGATCAAGATGTGATATTTAAACATAACCCCCACCATTCTTTGCCGAAGCTCATTACAATAGAAAGTTCAGTGTCTTGCAATAGTTCATAATCATATCCATAAAAGACCGATGACTGAGAAAGTTGTTCAAATGGCAGCATGGGACCTGGAACATCATTCTTATAAAATGTAATTAACCAAGAAAAAATATACGAAAACAAGTTCACAACTCTTCATTAACTCAGCATTTTTAGGAGCAATAAAAGGTACATTTTTTAATTTTTTTGTCAGTTAAAGAAATCAACCAATAGGGCCATTTAATGTTTATTGGTTTAGAATTGACTTATGCTTTTAAAGATACAGCAAAGTTAACACTTGAGCTGAGAAATTTTGTTTTATTAAACCCGACTTCGTTTTTTTCTTTTTCTTTGCATAAAGTAACCATTAAAGAATAAAATTAGTTAAGGTTTCCATTTGAGACAGTAGTTTTGTGAGAAGAATATTAGAAGATAACCCTTACATGTATATTCCTTTAACCAGAATTTATGTTGGCTATAAAAACTGTATACATTTTCTGTTTTCAAGTGCTATTAATTATATTAAATTGTTGTAGGTTTCTTGGAGCTAATCAACAACATGCTGACATCTGGAATTGTACCTGCCCTTTTCTCTGATGAAGAAAAGGAAGTAATACTTAATCAGGTGCGAGATGAAGCCATCAAATCAGGGTTCGGTATTGCAAAGGAGCAGGTGTGGCAGTATTTTGTCAACAAATGTGCCAGCAATCTTCACATTGTTCTCGCCATGTCTCCCGTTGGAGATAAGCTTCGGACCCGTTGTCGAAACTTCCCTGGGTTAGTGAATAACACAAACATAGACTGGTTCACTGCGTGGCCTGAAGAGGCTTTGTTTGCTGTTGCAAGCGTCTTCTTGGCTGAAGTAAGTTTAACTACTACGTTTGTGTTTTCTGTATGATGATAAAGTTACATATTTGTATAGTCAAAGAAATTTCTGACTAACAGATATGTAATTATCCCAAGTGTAGTATTTGAGAGTTTAGTTGGACCACAAAAATGATAATTAATGTAAGTTTCTCAATTTTTATGTTGTTAACATCTTTATTAGTAAATTATGTAAAAATTGTATCTATGTTCTTATTTATAGAAATTTGGACATGTGTTCTTTTGTTTTGTTTGTCCAAGTACCCAGGAGATCCTAATACAAGTGAATGTTTGACATTTCAGTTGTAAATATTGTTATTTCTTCTCCTGTTTCAAGCAATGTGTAAATATTTTAACTAAATCAAAATTATAAAGACATTCAGAGTTGTACTTTAAAACTTACAATATCAGTTTAAACATAATAATGCTGATCCATGACTTAAGCATTATAATATCATTGAAAAGACTGAACTTAAAGGTCAAACATATAGATGTGAAAATAAATTTTGTTGTACACAATTTGTTCTAGTAAAGAGGCAAAAAATGTACATTTCTGGCTATTCTCTCACAGTGTAAAGATGTATTAATTATTATTTAAAATTGCTGTATCTAGTATAAGTTACATTATTTTATATTTTGTTTTGCTTTTTACCTATTCTGGACTTTCATGATTAACTGATAATTTTTAGTAGTCTTATATTTTTGTGTTTCTATTTAACTGCTTTTTATGTTGATAATGTTAACATTGCCCCACTGGTGGCTCAGTGGTAAGTCTGAGTGGGCTGAATACAGATAGCCCATGATGTAAATTTGTTCTTTACAACAAACAATGTTAGCATAATACCAAAATAGAATGAGTATAATAAATTGTTCTTAATGATTTTGTGGTAAACTAAGGTGTAATAGGTAAAATTAGTAAACAGGCGTGATTTTGGTTGCCTGGATCCTAGTTTTTTACAAATTGCTTGTGAGTAATAATAATTTTTAATGTACTCATTTCTGATGGCTTTAACTTTGATTAATTCAATCTATAAACTTCATTTGATATAACAGTACTAGTTTCTAAGATTCTCCTCTTTTTAGAATAAAAATGGTACAAAGTTTTTAAACACTTAACATTTAGAGATTGAAAATCATTATGTATGTCCCTGGATCAGATTCATTAATGAGGTTACCAAGTACATTGCCAAAATCTGTAAATATTGAGCAATAAAATGCTATTCTCAGTAAAATTTGGTATTGGAACAGAAAAGGTGACCAATAATGGTATTATGATTTTAGAATTGTAATGTGCAGGCAGGCATCTGATTATACTTACAAAGATAAAGCTATTTTATAAAAGACAAGCTAAGTTACCCCCTCCCCCCTTTTGTCTGGGTTATAAATCCAAAATATATGTGGGGGTGGATACTTTGATAAATATCAAAAATACTAACTTTCACACAATTTATTTATAACATAACATATTATTACTGTACTCATTATTATCTTAACAAAAGTTTTGTACAAGCTTTAAAACTCAATATGTATATGCAACATGATATACACTGTTTGATGGTTAGGGTGACTTTGTATTAAAAGATAGCAGCCAAAGTACTGGCGGTAAGGGGTGCTTTCTGTTACCTGCTTTCAACACCCACCTCTTAATGTCCTTCCCCACTGTTTCACGTTATTAATTAATTGACAGTCATTGGCCACAGAAATTGAAAGGTCACGGGTCAAGGTAGGAAGTGGGTATAACTACAAAAACTGCTCTTTATATCATGAGTTTATGTATTATTGCAATAGTAGCAGCCATATTTTTCATTGCATATCTCCATAGAGAGTGCTAGTGCATTCTCTCAGATATATATAAGATATTTGTGTGCCCTGCCCCCACACTGTATGTATGTTGTTTTACAGAAAATGTAATAAAAACATTTTGGGTATAAGGGCATGAATGTAGTCAATAAATGCTCAATAACAGCAATAATGGAGGCTGGAGAGGTTGTGAATCCCCCATTAACATGCCTTTTGTTCCTAACTGTCATCCCACAAAGTTTGGTTGAGATTGGCCCAGCAGCCTAGGAGTTGTTTGATAATGGACAAATAGACAGACACATAGATTTTTTTTGTGTGTGTGCTTTATACAGATAGATAGAATAGCTGCTTTCTTTTCTTTAATGCTTTTAGAAAATAATGCAGCATTTTGACAAAGCAAATGTCTTCTTAAACATTTATTGCAGAGCTTTGCTTTGAGATAATAGTTCTTTAATTTTGCCCTAAACACGAATTTCTATGAAATAGAAGGTATGTGAACACACTCATGACAAAAATGTTTGTGTTTTTGATGAGCCAGGTTTTGAGATAGTGTCTAATATTCATAATGACAAAAATGATATGCATACATATATCCATATATCCTTCTGAAACCTGAATGCTAAACATTCATGCAACTGCATTTGCTATAGGAATTAGTTGTATTAACTCTCTAAAATCGGGTATGATCAAAGTGCACGTCATGTCCGATTACAGATGTACATTCAAAGTTTAATTAAACAACTTTGTTTGAAAGTGCCAATAAACCTGGAATTATGATGTAGTTTATAATTAAAGTTTTAATATTACATGTTTTAATTTCAAAATGAAATATTTAATTCTTAGTGCTCGCATGTCTGTATCATATGATACTTCTTTGCTCATTTTTGATTTTCTTCTACCCCTATATGACCTCTTAACATTCTGTGGAACTTTACATTTATGCTGTGCTGATAAAGGTTTTTGCTATATGGAGAAATAAGCAATAAGGTGAAGACCACGTACCATGCCCTTTGTAGAACATCCTGCTTTCGAAAATTGTCATAAACATTTACTATTGGATTATTTGTGACCAATAGAAAGCAAAGATTTCAATTTACTGACAGCTACAGGGCCTCAAGCCCTTGAAATAAATATATTTGAACATTTTAGCATTGTTGTTTTTTTGTTTGCCACTGTTGAAGCTCTGCTTGACTAGGCATGAAATTATTTAAGCTGTTTCTAGATTAGTTAGAAAGCCATATAAATTATATTACTTTTTAGGACATTCTATTTTATGTGCATGGCAATATTTTTTATTCTAAATTGCATATGAGTTAAAAAAAAACATTTTTGAGACTACATTATCTTTACTAAGAATTAAGGCTAATCTTTGACATTAGCTTTTTTTCTATAAGTGCAAAAAGCACAAAAAAAAGACAAACTTTCAGACATAAGTACTCAGTTTCTTGGTTATTTATGTATATTTTTATTCATTGTTGTAAATGTAACTAAAATATAAAAATTAGAAATGTATTACGTTACATAAGTAAACTTCAATGAAATTACATAAACAAATTATTCATAATGAAAAATAGTGGCAACAAGAATGCTGAGCATGGTTGTTGTGTAATTTACCATGAGCATGCTGGTAAGTGAATCTCTTGTTTACACAAAACTGTCCAGCATAATAAATAGTTTTTGCTGTAATATGATAGAATCTAAGTTCAGTTGTGAAGAAAAAACTTTGGCTGCTAAATAAACATTGTCTTTTACAGTATGCAGTCATTCTAGAAAAAACATTTAATGATTTATATCTTTGTTACTTGGTGTTTACAAGGCCAATAAAATATAAAAGTTTTGCTGAAAGAAGACTTTTGGTATTCACACTTAGGAGGTTCTAGAGGTTATGCAATTGAAATTTGAAAACTGTAAGGTGAAATATATATTTTTATTCTTGTTAAGATACACTTACCATATTAAAAGTTATAGTATGTATATTTTTATGGTTACTGGTGGGTGCAAGGTTGGTCAAAATGATAGAGTCTGTATAGAATCATTTGATTGGCTTCCAACCATAATTTTTTGTGATCTTTTTCTACTTTTTACTATCAAGGGTCAAGTAGATCAAGAAAGATCTAAGTTAAAAATATTATTCATATTATTTATCACACATATGCTTATTTTTGTCATTTTGGGCACATTTTATTTCCCAACAGTCTGTATATTATAATTAACCAAGTGTGATAAGAGTGGAATAATCTTTTAAAAGAAGCTGTCTTTATCCATAGAATCAACAAATTCCAGAAGAACAAAGAGAAGCTGTGGTAAACCACGTTGTGATGGTGCATCAGTCTGTAACGGAATACAGTGTCCAGTTTCTCCAGAAACTTCGTCGTCAAAACTATGTTACACCTAAAAACTACTTGGATTTTATCAACAGTTATTTGAACCTCCTAACAGAAAAAGATGCCTTCATAACGAGTCAGGTACAACAGAGAAATGAATCATTTCAAGTAGTTTTTCAGAAAAAAAGGACCAAAAAATTCTAAATTAGGAGTTTTCAATTTTTATCTTGTTTTTTTTATTTTTACTTATTTTGTTTTATATTTTTTTTAGTTTATATATCCCATATTTGTTATTAATTAGTTGTTATTTACTTGAACTTATATTTTTTTTATTAATGTTTTAATGTGTCATCTAGTACTTAAGGTATTCTTCTTTTTTGTCTGTCCTTGAAAGGTTATGGTTATGTTAGGTGTTTGTTAACTTATTTTGGCAAATTTAATTATAAATCAAACCATTTTTAAAAAGAAAGAAAAGTGGAATTGAGAAAGAGAACTCACAAATTCAATTGTTTTTTTCAATAGAACACTATATTTGGTCGCCTGTCAGTCAAATTAAGGTGGCTGATACTCATTAGTTGTTTATTTTTCACAGTAGAATAAAATGAAAACAAAAGTTTCGGAAAAATAATCTGTAAGTCTGTGGTTACAATTTATATTTTAAATTTCATAACAGCTGTATTATACAATGATTTTGTTACATAGTGTGAGCGACTAATGGGAGGCCTAAACAAGATTCAGGAGGCAAGAATTCAAATCAGTTCCTTGCGTGAGAGACTGGATGTCCAGCAAGTGGCTGTACGAGAAAAAACTGTTGCTTGTGAAAAATTGTTAAAAGAGATTTCTGTGGGTACGAAACGGGCCCAGGACAAGCAACAGTATGCTCTCACCAAGAGTAAAGACATCGAAGAACAGAGTGTTCTAATTCAAGCTGAGAAGGTAAATCATGAAGATATGATTTTTTAATTTCATGGGCAGATTATCATTTTATAAGTATTTTGAAAGTACCTTTGAAAAAATCAGGAATAATATTACAAGCAAAACTGTATAAGAAATTTGTAATAATGTTATATACATTGTTCTGTTTTGAAGGTTGAACAACAACCTTCAATATTTCATATTAATAAGAATTAAAAATACTGAAGAATTTATATGTTTTCTTAAAATTTGGAAAATGTAATGGAAACACTAAATTATTGTACACAGAAACGTTTTAGTTTTACAATCGTGCAACTGGTGTTTATTGTATTGTGTTTTAGCATCTTATTTTAAGGTCACATCTAATTAAGATTGTATGTTAATCAGATAAGTATATTTCTGAATATACAGAGTGTCTCTAAAGTTTGTATTCATGGCCATTCTATTATTTATAATTGATATTTATTTATTTTTCAGATAAATGAAAGTATAAATAATGGGTGACTATACAGATCACGAGAAAGTGTGTATGGTATATATATGTATGGGAATTGAACAATTGTTAAATAAAGATCAATAGTAAATTCTACCTATGGATATGGACCTTTGAAACATCATATATATTTGCATTCTTTATATAGGGGAAGGAGTGAACACATGTGTATGTGTTACTTGTTTGTGATAGATCTAATCCCAACTATGAATCAACTATTAACATTTGGTGTGGAATAAAAATAAGAACAAATAGGTTTGCAATTTGACAGTTAGTCACGATAATAACCTTAAAATGTTTTATTACGATTAACGAGTTCAACTTGATTTTAAAATACAGTGTTAATTGTTTGTAGCCATATATATTATAGGTAATATATGTAATGAGTATAGTCTGTAGGGAATAAGAAAAGAGAGATTATATAAATAGCATCATAAAGTTTTTAAAACACCTACTGTTGCTATACTGTATATTTCTGTGTTTTAGCATGAAGCTGAGGCAGCTTTAGCAGAAGCCTTACCAGTACTTGAGGCAGCAAGAGTAGCTTTGGAGGATCTTGACAAGTCTGACGTCACAGAGATACGGTTAAATTCATTTTGTTTCTCATTTACTAGGTTAAAAACGTCAAGGTGTGGTATTACACAAATATTACATGGTGAAGAGAAGGAAGATGAGTCAAAAATGTGTTATTATTTGTTTATTTGTTGTTAAGCACAAAACTACGCAATGGGACAAAGACACACCCCCCCAATGAAAGAATAGACCATTCCAAGCTTTTACTTGTTGTTAAACAAATGTTTAAACAACTCTATTCAATTCATATTCATGTTATTTCTGTTTCACATACAGGAAAACTAATTATGTTGATGAATAATACAAATTTTTATGTTAATAGTCTTTTACTTTGAAGGTTCTCATACTAATTTCTAAAACTCCCACAATAGAAATTAATTTATATTCCAGCATGCTTACAAACTTAATGTTTCTCTTCTGAGTAACATAAGAATGCTCTTATAGACACTTGTAAAAACTCTTCTTGCTCACATATTTCTGTATTTCAAATTATACAAGTGTTTAGCTTGAGTTATTTTTTTCTGTGTTGGATCATGATGGTATATTTATTAGACTAGCATTTTATTCATTGTTGGAGTTTAAATCTTTTCTTCTGTTTCATAATCACTGAATTTTCTTAAGAACTCAAAAGGCAAAGTGAATCCTTTTAATAACTTTATTTCAGATCATTTATCAAAATTAAGCAGCACAGTTGTTCCAGTATAGGCTACGTAATAGTAAATAATAGTAAAGTAATAGGGAAAAATTATTTTATACCTGTCTGTTTCCAACTGTAATATAAAAAAATAACGTAAACAAGTTGAATCTGTTGAAACTCATGTAAGATCATTTTAAACCACTTGACTATTTCAGTCATCAAGCATATCTTCATGTACACAATCCTGTCCTTTAATATAAACCATAAATAAAGAATAAATTTTTACAAGAGATTTATTTGATTTCTATTAACCCTACAATGTATCAGTGTTTAACAGTATTTAAAACACACATTTTGTTTCTGTAACATTTTTTTCTTAAAGAATGACTTCTTCATAAAAGGTGGATAGTATGAATATCTCTAAAAGTCTCACTCCAATAGATCCTTTGCAACTCCTCCGAAACCAGTCCAGATTGTGTCAGAGTGTATTGTTGTTCTGCGGGGAATAAAGGAGGTATCATGGAAGTCTGCTAAGGCTGTGATGTCTGAAGCCAACTTCTTGAGAAGCTTAATGGATATGGATGTTGATAGTATCTCAGCAGCTCAAGTAACCACTGTCAAAAAACAGTTAAAGGTAAGAAATATTATCATTTCTGAATTGTACACTTAAATTTATATAAAATTATTTATCTAGCTGCATTCAGATTGCTTTAGTTTTGTTTTTTACCTATACTTTTCGTGAGCGTAAAATTTATACAAATGTGAAGTGAATATGAAGTATGAAATTGAAAAATGAATATTTATTTCTTTTGAATTTCTAAACCGTAATTACAGAGTTCACGATGAGTTGCGCTATACCTCTTAACTCTCAATCAGACTTATGTACTCAATTTGTAAACGACTTTTTTACACCATGTGCAAAGACATTAACACATTTTTGCAAGGAAATTGAATATTAATCAAGTCAAAGGTCACACAAAAATTGCTCTTCATGACAAGAAAAAAACAGATGTAAAATTTTTTATACTGGCTAAAGTAATTGTAGTACAACAGTTTAAAAAGTAGGAAAATTTTCTCATATGAAATAATAATACTCTTTTAACTATTGTATACAGTAAATAGTAGTTTTGTATGGTGTTTCTCACACCTCCAAATTCTGTTGGAGGTGAGTATCTGGGAGTATGACTGGCGTCCTAGTTCGGACACCGGGTGACCATGTTTCGGTATAACGGGGATTCGAACCCACAACCCTCAGATTGCGAGTCGAGTGCCCTAACCATCTGGCCATGCTGGGCTACATACAGTAAAATACATTCTTTATTAAACCCCATACAAAAATTACAGGAAATAGGATTAAAATGTATTTTGAAGATGTTTGCTAATATTTGCTAATAAACTATTACTGAATAGGCATCTTTTCTGTCTTGCTGGTGCTACACAGAAAATAGGCATCAAACTGTTGAGCTAAAGTTTGTAATGTTTATATTGTTTTTATTATTTAATCAGTTTATCCTTAGACCTGTTGCATTAATGTTTTACCTCCCAGTGGCTCAGTGGTAAATTTGAGGACTTATATGCTAGACATTGAGGTTCAATAATAATGGTGGGCACAGCACAACTTTGTGTCTATAAGAGAAAAATAGGGCCAGGTGGTTAGGGCACTCGACTCACAATCTGAGGGTCGCGGGTTCGATTCCCCGTCATACACCAAACATGCTCGCCCTTTCAGCCATGGGGGCATTATAATGTGACTGTCAATCCTACTATTCGTTGATAAAAGAGTAGCCCAAGAGTTGACAGTGGGTGGTGATGACTAG